AAGCGCTGCCGCCCGCGATCGTAGTCGTTAAGCAACTTTCTCAAGGGTCGGTCGCGGGATGGGTGACCAAAAAATTACTATCTCAAGCTACTCCGTGCTTCGAAAGGCACGTTAAGCCGTTGGTCCCGGCTGCATTTGCAGTCGTCAATACCCTCCAATCCGCATTGGGCCAGCGTGGAGGGTCATGGCCCATCCTCTTTAACCATCCATAAGGAAGGCCTGAGCCCCTGCAGTGGGGACGTAAAAGGGCTGGTTAGGGTATATTGCTTTGAGAATTATTAAAATAAATTTATTTAAATACTTTTTAATACTTATGGAATACTTTTCTAACCTACCACTTTATTTATGGCTGATAAGGCGAACGAGCAAAAGAAACTCACTAGTTCTAACAGAAGTAACGAAATTTATACAAAACTGTGAATTGACTAAAACAAAATTAACAACATAAATTATTTATCATAATTATGTAACAAAGGACTGCGTTTATTTATTTTTATTAAGATTAGTAGTTTAAGACTATGAGTGTACTTTCTATATTAATATGAAAAAAGTAATAGTGAAACTATGATCTTACAATGTTCCTGACATAAATAACACAATATCTTTTATAAGTATCGATTCTAAAATATTGTCGAAGTTTGTAAATCTTCGATGTTGGGGTCCGCCTCTCTAAGGATTGGGATTAATTGTTAAAAACGTGCGCCTATGTGAATTTTTTACATAAATAAATTAAACTACCATCCAGGGCCAGTTAAGTGCCCCGATTTATCTTATAAATAAAATCGTATGATTAAAAAATAATTAGAAACTATAAAGAGAATTATCAAAGAATTCTCTATACACGTGTGGCAATTATGCTTTTTTATCGCAAGTCTTAACTAAAACATAGGTTATTCAAATGAAAACGGAGATATCTAAAATGTAATGGAACTCTGGCAAAAAAATTTAATTAGGGTTGACGTAAGTAACCATTTAAAATATTATTAGTGCTTTATACATTTGTGATTTATTAACACAATTAACACGAAAAACCTAAGCTGCTAGACCTACAAAAACATGATACCATTACCTTTGCCACATTGACACATGAGCTAGATCATCGCATAGCTCTAACCAAGGCAAATAATGCCAATAAATGTTATTTACAAGATACACCATTATTCTGCACATAAATAAGTATAAAGGCGGCAAGAATCAGAAATTGATATATCCTGAAGCGGCTGTAGTCATTCGTTCGGTACGTTTTACAGCTAAAGTCACTTTCAATTTCCAACCTGAAGCGCTTTATAGCTCGCTCAGATCGTGACGGGCATAAAACCTTGAGAGATGGTGGCTTCACTTGTCTCCATCTACACTGAATCCGCGGGAGGTTCACCGATCCTTCAAACTTACATAGAACAAATACGTATCATATTTAGAAAGGAACAAAGTCTGTTTTTCGTGAGCACAGGCCAAGATTTCTTAATCTTCGTCAGTTATTTCATTTTTTTTTTATCTTACAGATGTTACCTTGTAAGATGTAAAAGTTACAGCTATATTTTTTATCGTCCACTGTAGACGAATTCTCGAAGTTTGTCTTTAGTACTTTCTCTTGTTGAATTAATCGTGATTTTTTTATTTGATGAATACAACCTTTTTCCAGAATTATAATTAAATAAAAAGTCAAGGATTACTTTTCATTTGGTTAGAAAAATTTATTTACATTCAAGAAAGGTTGCTTAATAAAACCTGAAGTTTAATTATATACTTGAATAACTCATACCGACTTATTTTAAAACGATGACAAAGTTAATACTTGATTTTATTAAGCCAATTGACAATTAGAGAAAAGAAAATGTTAAATTAAGACGTGGTGACTTATTTTGGTCGGATATTGGTTTAAAGCTAATCCTCGTTTTATAATAAGGCGGATAAAGTTATTTGCCATTATCAATTTCTCCATATTATATATCCTAATCTAGAAGTCACTTAATATCTAAAACGTTATAATATGTGAAATTAGTTTATTTCATATTTCACCAGACACAACCCTAATTCATTGTATAGAAGCTAATGGAAAGCAGGCGCGCTCAACATTTTCTCGCAATTGAGAAAAATATATATTCGCAAACATAAATTTTCGTGAAATAAAACTCGATGTAGAGTGAAGCACTCATTGTCGGCATCAGGAATTAATGGCAGCGTTTTATTGGTACCCGTTCTGTTGGATGTTGGATTATTGTTTGGGTAATTTTAATAGCTATAGTTTAATTGTTGATTTTTTTTTTATTGGTTACAATCTAATAACTGTTTGATAGAGTTTGTAATCGTAATTGTTTATTATTATGATTAAACTAGCAACATGTTCTGGCTTTGTGTGCGTGCTAATTAACATGTATTAAGATAACAGTATACTTTTTTGATAAAATTAAGTAATAATTAAACTTTTCGCTTTTTATAAGTACGAATTTACCGGGTCTATCAGCGGATTTCGTAGTTTGTAACATTGCGCCGTACCACCGTTTATTTCGTCCTTGATATCCACATGCAAATTTTTGTTTTTGATCTTCAACATCGTTTATTTTTATTATCCCCTTTTCGTAATTTGAAATTTTGAGTAATCCAATATGCTCTATATAAATTCGTAAAATAAGAACCCGGCGAGATCAACATTATTTACAGCGATTTCTTCCAGGCAACCTAAATTGTGAGAAGAAACCATATGCACAGTTATGAATTTATTCAAATAAATTATTATTATTTAAATTAGAAACATGTAAACGTATACCTTCGTGAAATATCTACTAAGTTCTACCTATTATGGAAAACCCACAAACGGGTTTTTTTTTAGTACAATTCATTAAATAAATCAAGATCTCAATCTTAATCAGCCTTTTATTCATTTGCCTAAGCATCGGACCCGTTACAAGTTTATCATCTGTAATTCTACATTACATATTACATAGAAAAGAGAGTCGTTGCAGGAAATAGTGTGAACATAGCTTAAGGAAAACTTAAAGTTACCTAAAACTTTATCCAGAAAGAGCAGCTATACACAATGGAGTGTTGATTCCAACGCCAATGCAAGGATGACAGAGTTGGATATGTTAGTGTAAGAATACAATTAAATGCAGTCGCAATACGTGAGGGGTTACGCTCTTAGACTGTGTGAAGAGACAATAATGATTCTTAATACAAAATGCTTAAAAAATCCACTTGGTCCCTGGTACCCTGAAATGGAATACGAACCCACGACCTTTCGCAATCCGGGCGACTGCTCTAACCACTGAGCTACCCAGGACCTAACAGGACTGACGAATTTGGGTGGATGCCTGAACATTGATGAGAATACGCTCTTTAGCAGCGAAAAGTCACAAGTGCTTGAGAGATTCGTCAGTAAGAATAATTTCCAGTATGGCGTTGTGAACGCAAAATTAATCAAAATATAGAGATAATAATGTATATGAATATTAATTCATTAGCAACAATATATATACACAAGCGTCATATATTTATGACCTAGTACTATATTAGATTTTAAGAACATACTGCTGGTTTGATCAATTATTAGCAAATATAACCTATGGTTAGTATCTGTTTTTAAAATCAAATTTTGTGAAAATCTTTTGGATTTCTTATAACATATATAAACAAAAGTAATTAACTAACGAACTTATTTATTTTAGTTTTAATAAGATGAAAATAATTTTTCAAAAGTACACGCGATAAAATCTTTTAAAAGTATTATATAATTATAATGAAATCAATAAGAAGACCTACTCGTAGGGAAGAAAAAGTTAAAAGGCAACACATAAAATGCAACCGAATTGGTAACCTCCTCCTTTGAAATCGGTTAATAGTATATACAAGACGCGTTTCCAATCACTATTCTTGAAAAGATTTGGGAGGTAATAATTTCTCCTTCACTTGACTTCTCCATGAGTACCAAATTTAAAAAACATAATGGCACTCTTGACGTCGCTAATCAATAAAACTCCAAGTCAATAGACAATATCTATCTACAGATCAATTTAAACCTTATAAGTTTCGATAAAAAGAAACAAATTAAAACGTAAAATAAAAAATACTACGAAACAACGTAGCACTCGTAGACGCGTAGAACTTAAGTAGAACCACATAGCTACGAATTCTAAGCTGACAAATATAGTCGGTGAAAATCTTTTGTTTGGAGCTTATAATAATACAATTTTCTTAGTGTTTTTGCAGAGCTTATTATACACTTTAATATTTGTAATTTTATTATTCCTTTATCGAATTAAACCTTTAAAATCGGATTCAAAATGATGTTATAAAAGAAAAATAATTTTATACTTATGTTACTCTATTTATGAGAATTGGAAATGCAATGACGCAATGTATACGAATTTTCGTATTCGAAAGTGTCAGTGAAAGAAAAATAATTATTTATTATTTTATGTTTCAAATTGATATCAGTACTTCAACCTTTTTCATATTCTATACACAAAAAACAAACTAATTAATGATTCGCTAGCTACACTTATTTTTGAGTTCCGTAAGTGAGTGTGAGTCCCAAACTGCCAAGATTTAAGCTATATAAAGTTACACTTAGGTACATGTTTACATAAAGATTTGAAGTAATTTTGAATCTCATATTACTACTCGATTAATTGAATAGTAACAGGTTGCTTATCTGACAATATAAAATTTACGCAACAAACAACATTTCAAAATCCAAGAAAAACACTATAACAGATTGGATAAGCACTTTTGACACCTAAATATATTAATAAGGCATAACTTATGTCAATTCGTCTTCAAAATATTTTAAAATAAATTGTGTTAAGGTGAAATGGTTAAATAAACCAAGCGATACGTAATATTCCTGCGGCCTGAGGTACCAATTAAGTCAACACAACGTCAAAATTTGATATTAACAACCGGAAGCCATAACGAAGCATAGATAAACATTTAAATCTGTATAGAATATTGTACATATTTCAGCCACCTTGTCCACCTGAAATTGACACTATACAACTCACCTTGTTTTCGTTTACATTGCACTTAAAAATATCCACACACAAAAAAATCTTTACACAGTCTATGCCGACACGTAGGTATTGTTAAATTTGGATTTTCATAAAATTTTCATTAAGCTCCGGGAACTCGTTTATACGTTCGAGAAATAAAGATAACAGACACGACCGCGCCGCTCAGGGTTGCGAGCTAAACTAGGAGCTCGGACGGTCTGAACCCGAAACGTGCGTGAGTGAGATGTCAACAGTGGGTGTGACAGGGACAGTTGTAAGTGCAGAGGTGCGCAGGAAAGAATTAGATGTTTATTTGGGCTACGTGTAATAGGATAACAGAAGCTGTGCGTGCGGCGAGCTTTTTTTCTAGTTTTCAGAGATCAGATGGAACGTTTTGATTGGACGATCTCTTTTTAAGTAAACAACTGTTTACTTAAAAACAGATAAGCTAGGATTTAAGTAGAGGTAAAACCAAATATGGAGTAGTATCCCCGATATAGTATATTTAAATTTCTTTTTAAAAATAAGCTAAGCCAAACAAAAATAAGATTTGAACCTATTAAAAGATTTAAATTTTTTCTCTGTTTACATTATGAGCAAATTAATTACACAATAAGTTAAATTCCTTTAAAAAAATGAGTAGTGTTTAAACTTACAAAATACTCATGAATTTTTTATGGGCCCCTAAAAAAGCAAACAAAAAAGGACCAAAATAGGTCTCTCCACCACCACGCAGAAACTCGAAAGCTAAACCCAAATTTATGATTTTTTATTGTCCAAAACAATAAAAAATAATTATCCCTCCGATTGCATAATAATAACACCATGAGCCAATATGCTCATTCACGAAATCAAATAAATCGTGAATTATCTGATCATACTATATCATCATCACCAGCTCTTTTACGTCCCCACTGCGGGGGCTCAGGCCTTCCTTACGGATGGTTAAGGAGGATGGGCCATGACCCTCCACGCTGGCCCAATGCGGATTGGAGGGTATTAACGACTGCAAATGCAGCGGGGACCAACGGCTTAACGTACCTTCCGAAGCACGGAGTAGCTCGAGATAATAACTTTTGTTCACCCATCCCGTGACCGACCCTTGTGAAAGTTGCTTAACGACAACGATCGCGGGTCGCGGCGCTTATCCACTACGCCACCGAGCTACTATATCATATCATAATTATATTTCTATGGCGCAGTGTAAGCGCGCTAAGTCTGCGTTACGGTTTTTAAGCAACATTCGCAAGGGCCTGTCATAGGATGGGTGACCAAAAATTTATTATCTCGACCTCCTATGTACCTCGGAAGATATGTTAAGCAGTCGGTCCTGGCTGCATCTGCAGTCGTTAATACCCACCAATACGCACTGACCCCGCGTAGTGGTTCATGGCCTATTCTCATTGTTCCATTCGATTCGATTCCGTTCACAGGGAAGGCCTGAGCTCTAGCAGCTGGGAGATTAGTAGACTGGTGAGGAAAAATTTAAGATTATGTCGGTCAGTTGCACAAACGTCCATTGAGGTTTAATGACGCCTTTAAGGTCTAATGTCAAATTTGTTTGGGTGTGCAACTGGCTGCATGTTAGATAAACAAGTGAATATAAAATTACAAGAATTACATCACTCAGCACACAATATTTTAGCTATAGCCTGCCCTGAATATTTGGCCACACTGTTACATTTTCCAATTGTTCTATAACGCTGTCAGTGGCGGGTTTACCCAAAGTTCACATTAAGGTAAATTCGGTTCTAAATTACATCACTTAGTTTTCGGCACACAATATTTTAACTATTGCCTGCCCTTAATAATTGCCCACACTTACCTTACCTTTCCCTTGTTCTATAACGCTGTCAGTGGCGGATTTACCCTAAGGTCGCATTAGGGTAAGTCCGCCACTAACTCTAAAACCCTAAATAAAGATGAATATGATGATGACCTCATCATTATTACCAGTAACATTGATGAGCTAAAAGAAATATAACCTTAACTACTACTGTATAGTTTTTAAAGTAATCGTACGCTGCGTGCACGCGTAAAATTTAACGACACACCAGTAAACACGTCGGTGACATTCGTTACATGTTGCACGCGTACAGATAGTTTGTTGCACGTGGTTCGTATAAAAATAAATTCAACTGAAACTTTAACTATCGGGATAAACAAACCTAATTCTTTTTTTACATATCTGTCTAATAATTCAGTTTATTCGAACTAGTAGATGTTTTCCCGGGTTTTCGCCCTCATAAATAATGCCTAATGCCCGTTTTCACTAAACTTAGGAGTCACCTAAATATTTAGGAATCGCCTAAGATAAAAATGCATTTCCTCAATAACTAGGAACCATCTTTCATTAAAAAAAATTTAAAGTGATAACATGCGGCGTTCCATAATATGACAGATCAGAAAGGGTCAAGGGATAAAAGAAAAATAGTTTATTTCTAAATTAAACTAATCTGCTTATGTGATTCGTAAGTTTAGGCGATTCTTAGTTAAGCTATGCCTTGTTCTAGGTTAGTGAGAATGGCGGTAAGTCACCCGTATGATTCCCATGGATAAATGATTTTTTAAAATCAATCTAGTAATTATATTAATTATATGGATCAATTTCTTTCGGCTGTTTGAGTGGATTGAGTGCATTGACGAAAATATACTCACTAGCAGCAAAAAATTACAGGTGGTTGATAAATTCTTATTTTTGTTGAATCTCGGGTTAATCAATGGTTAGAGCAACCGCCCGGATTAAGAAAGGTTGTTGTTCGGGTTTATCTCCATTAAATTTTTCTTTAAAAATATTCAGTTCGGATTCTATTCAATGCAAGCAAATAAATAAAATCATTCCTCTTTAAAATATTAGTATAGATAATTTAGTAGATTAGCTTCTTCTCTGTATTTGCTAATAGCCAGTTAGAAGCTAATTTGTTAAAAATATATAACTTGAATTCACAGTGCTATTATTTAATTTTAAACAATTCCTTGGATCGCCATTTCATTTACCTGGGACAGCTGATTCCGATTTAAAGGGTTGAAATGACAAAAAGATCATAAAATGAAGATCTTTGATTTTGCATCGTTGACGCTGTATTGATATTTGCGTTATAGAATATACTTAGAAAAGAAAACGTAGTTTATGTAAATTACTTGAACATTGATGGAAATATGTTCTATGGTAGCGAAAGTAACAGTGACTTGGTGATGTTTGGGAGTCTCATTAAAGTATCGGACAGTTCAAATTTTTTTAGAACAGCCAATTTCATTATTAAAGGTTCTAGTCCCGATTCGGGAACCTAAAATAGTTGATTTAAATATTAGACAACATAATCGAACGATAGTGTTTTACGAGAGCGCTCGCATGTACATACGGCTAGTCGTCAGACTATCACAATATTTATATGTCAAATTTTGGTAAACGATTTTATATTGTACCCTTAATGCAATAAGTTTCAAATAGAGTGGAGAAATTTGATGATTTTGTATAACCTGTCGTGCTGTTGACTGTACCTTGTATTTATTGAGTATGAAATGACCATGAAACTTTAAAACAACATCAGATTCTATGGTAGGTCGCTAAAGGTACTACAGCAACAGACCCAAGACTATGAAGGAACGTTCATTTTCTACATTTATCCGATTTGAAATCGAAGCCGGTAGCTTAGACATGGCGACAGCTTGAAACCGATGTGCAAAATCACTCGGCTACAGAGGTTGTTAGTGAATTAGTTTTTTGTGTAAACTGGTTATCGGAGCTCGTTGAGTGTGTTTATATTCATAGCCGAACGGTTCGCACGCCGGTTTCAAGGTGTCAGCCATATCTAAAGTCCTGGTTTCGATTCGCGGACAGATCAGTGCAGAAAATTGTTCTGTCTCAGCTCTGGGTTGTGACAACGAAGGTCCCACATAACTTGTGTGGGACCTTCGATATCTCGAATACTCCATAATACGGAGACTTTAGCAACTTGGAATCTGAGCAATATTGTCTTATTAGATACTGTTGCCGCTCGACACCACTAGCGACATCTAGAGAACGGTGTGGCGGCCCGGACGATTGAATTTTTAACAGCTGTTTCGAAATAAAAACGTTGACAATCGCGATCAACTTTCACTTTCAAACGGATAAGCATCGAAGCTACACGAAAATTACAAAATATAGAAATCGAATTACAAAGGAGTACCGAAGCCCCCGTTCCTGCACATTTTGGCCACATCGAGCCGCAGCGGAAGTCGAAAATCATCGTGCCAGCGCCTACATTCGAAATCAGTGTAACGGTCAGGTCTTTGATCCCGTTTACTCCTATCCTATACGTATTTGTATTAAAACAGTATTTATTTTGTGTATCCAGGTAGTCTGTATACTTGATTCGGGTTTCAGTTATCCTGCACAAAATCGTAAGTACCTTATTTTTACTTAGACATAGACCTTACAAATGGGTGGTGAAGAAAATTTGTCAGTGCCTTTAGCTGGTTCCTCAGTTTCTCCAACGAGAAAACGGCTAAGCGATCTTTCCGATCTAAGAAAGCAACGCGGTAGTTTAAAAGCGAGGTTAACTAATTTAAATAAATATTTAGACAATTTACAAAATATTAGTATATCTCGAACACAAGTTAAAGAGATTAAATTTAGAATGCAAGCTGCTAATGATCTTTATAAAAGGTTTAATGATGTTGAAAACCAAATTGAAATTTATTCTAGTGATACAGACTTTGCATCCAACCAGGAATACGTAGAATGTTTCGAGTCTTTATATTTTAGTTTTTTAGCGACTGCTGAAAGTATAATCGATAGTGAGGAGATTACTAATTTGAAATGTAACGGTCACTTATCTCGAGCTAACGTCAAATTGCCTGATATAAAATTGCCTTCCTTTGATGGATCATTCGATCATTGGCTTGAGTATAAGAATTCGTATCTCACCATGATCCACAAACGTTCAGATTTAGACGAAATCCAGAAGTTCCATTATTTACGATCCTCACTCAGTGGCAGTGCATTACAGGTCATTAGTGCGTTAGAATTTACGTCTGCTAATTATGAACACGCTTGGTATTTATTAGAAAACAGATTCCATAACACTAGACTTTTTGATACACAATCATTTAAAATCGTTATTCTCCATTCCTCCTTTGAAGCATGAATCCCACACACAAATTAGAAAATTAATAGATAACGTTCTAAGGAATTTACGTGCACTTAAAACTTTAAACG